ATGGCAAAACAACTCTAAACAAATGTATGCAACATTCATGTTTCACGAGCATGTTTCGTATGTTTCGAAGCAGGGTTTCAGTTATTATTTACATGATTAGGCATGTATGATTAGGATGTTTGATGATGCACGATATATATGATTTACAGTGCCTAAATGTTGGTCATAACACCGGGGTGTTACAAGTACAACTGTCACAACGATGATACCCCGAAGCAGAGAAATAGCAAAATTCCTGAACCTTTTAAATTTCCGACAGGAAAATAGTGTTGTCAGTCTCAAAGATGTTAAGGTGGTGCTTAAAACACCATATAAGATTTTAACGGATTAAACCCAAAATAAGATCACTATCTTTAGAAAAGATGGAAAGATCTGGGGGAACATGGTATGAAGAGGTATGTAGAGATCTAAGACTTGAAGAGAAACGAGACTGCATGCTCACTTCAGTGATTCAAAAACAACGAAGCTCTCAATACCTGTTGATGTTGTATGACTAATACAACACCTATTGTTGGCTTTTTGAAGAAGATGAATAATATAAACAAGGATCTTGTAATATAGGAGACTATAGAATCAATTGCCTCTTAGCAATGAAGAGCAACAACAGTCCCATATGAAAGTGCCAGTAGCTGAGGTCCCAGAAGGTCTTAAAGAATTAGTAAGCCAGTTTTTTCTGATGACTATGAAGTCTATGTTAGTGAAGAAATTCAAATGGAGAGTGATCTCACCTCATTTGAAAAAGCCATGAGAAGCGTTTACTCGTTTAAATGACAAGAAGCTATGAAAATTGAAATGAATTCGATGAATACCAATGATATTTTAGGACTTAGAAGAAATTCCTGATAGAGCCAAAACAGTAGGCTATAAAAAGGGTCTACAACACAAAACGTGACTTCAAAGGGAATATAGAAAGATATAAAGCATAAATTATAGCAAAAGGCTTTATGCAAAGAGGATGAATAGATTACGATGAGAGTTTTCTTTCTAGACTTATGCAAGGATTCTTTAGAATCAAAATGGTGTTATTGGCACATTACGATTTAGAGTTACATTAGATGGATATAAAGACGGCATTCCTCAACGGGGATTTGTATGAAAACGTTTATATGGCACAACCCAAAGGTTTTGTCGTGGAAGAAAAAGAACGTATGTGATGCCGCATGTAGGAATCCATTTATGGGTTAAAACAAGGCACACGACAATAGTATTTGAAGTTGATGAAAACAATAAGAAAGTTTGGGTTTTAAAGAAAAATGAGAAGGACAGTAGCGTTTATGCGAAGTTTAAGAATGGAAGATTCATTTTTCATATTCTGTGAATAGATGACATTCTACTCACTAGTAGTGATGTTAATCTGTCATTGGAGAAGAAGTTTTGTCCTCAAGTTTCAATGTGAATGATCTTGGTGAAGCATCATTGGTTTTATGAATCGAAATTCACCGAGATAGAAAAAATTAGGGTATTAGGACTATCGCAAAGGCATACTTAGAAAAGATTCTAAAAAAAAAATATGCATACGAGTAAACCTACGCTTGCTCTTATAGTCAAGGGTAATAGATTTAGGAACTTTAAGTGTTTCAGGAACCGATATGAGATCAATCAAAAGAATATGGTTCCATATGCTTCAGCTGTTGAAAGCTTGATGTGTGTACAAGTACAAGTAAGAACTTACCCTGACGTAGTTTACGTTTTCAGGATATTTTGACAGAAGTCCAGTCTAGATATGGATCACTGGAATAGAGTTGAAAATGTCTTGCAATTTTGCAAAGTATCATAGATCTCATGCTGAGTAAAAAAGAACAAATACTCTTAAATAGTTGAGGTTATAAAAAGTTAAGTCTTGGTGAGATGTGTAGTAAAATCCACAACAGTTGTTAACACTCGCAGTTGGAGTACTATTGTGGAAAAGCTCCAAAGAAACAGTTGTGGTGTCATTAGTGATGCATACCATAGTAAAACTTGTCATGAGGCTTAAGGAACACGCAAAAGATGGTTAAGAGAATCTGTACCCGGATTTAACAATGGTAGACAACAGCAATAATTATTTAAAATAAGTTAACTCCTAAGACAACAGGTCAAGTGTGCCGCCAAACACATTGACACTTAGTTATATGTTGTAACGGAGAAAATCCAGAATTATTTTGAAAACATTGAGCACATAAGTATCGAGTTAGTACTTGCAGATCCGCTTACCAAAAGCTAACCACCCAGTGCGTTCAGAGAACACACAGTTGACACGGGTTTATGGAAAAGCCTATGATTTCTAGATACTAAGGGCCTAGTTGAGTATCTGTTTCAAAACAGAGAGGTGTGTTGTAGCTGTTTAATCTAATGGCAACAGACCGTGGCGATGATGAACGCTCTATGCACTGATCTGTGATGGATTGAGAACAAGATAAAGTAAGTTAAGTTTAAGCAATAAGGTGAGATAAGGGGGAGAATGTTAGTTTGATCTCCACCAATTGGTCCAACGGCCAATTGGGCCCTTAGATCCGCGTCCTGATCGGGGGCGCCTAACCACTCTATGGTTGGTGGGCCTCCATCGCACAGCACCATAAAAGAGAGGTGGGGGCCGGGGCATACAGTACGAGGTTCCCCTGAGCCGCCTGACGCCCCACCTCTACCCCAACTCTAACCCGATCTAAAGAGAGGGTGCTGCCAGCGACGGAAAGCCGCCACCGACTTTATCGTTGCCTCTGCAGTGCCACCACCGGGCCGCTGCACTTCGCCACGTTGTCGCGCACCATCACTACACTGCTACTACGACTCCAGTGGCCACGTTGCTATGGCGCCGTGACCGTGGCTACGTATGATGAAGTACATCACCAAGTCTCCCTCTCCCGATTCATGCATTAAGCTAAGTTCTACTCACTGATCTACACCTAGAAGAGTTTTCGATTCCTACACCGTTGACGCGGGCTAAGGACGAGCCCAAAGCCACCGGTCGTGTGCTTTGCCTGCTTGCGGCCCGCTCATCATCGACCTCGTGGCGTGGGAGTTTGCAGTCCACGCCCACGCGCCGCTCGGTGCTGACGGCGCGACGCCTAGGTCTTCGACGTAGACGGTGGCCGCGTGCCCACGTGTCATGGCATTTTTGGAAGTGGCCACGCTAGCGGCACGTGATAGAGCGGAGGGCGCGGTCGGCATCGAGGGCGTGGAGCACCGCGGCGGGTAGAGGGCGGTGCGCCGCAGTGGCGAGGCCCACGATGCCAATCATAATCACGACGGCAGCAAGGCTCATCTTGTCCGCCTGCTTGGACATGAAGTACAGTACCTGCTGCATCCTCCGTCGAGGGCAACTGCCGGGTAAACAAATCTGGGGAGGACCATCCACACGGCGTCCGCGTACGGACCTACGGCTGACAAATGGCTCACGGGGTTGAAAATGATGTGTTGGCCCACGCAACAGACCATATAGTATCCGCGTACAGCCGCTCCCCATTCAATTTTTTTCCACTGCCGGAAGGCCTTCAAGTCCGAGGGAGCCTGAGCCGTGCCCTGTGATCTACTATTGAACCATGATGTCTTGATGATGTCATATATGTTCTTTTTTCCTTGGAAAATTAAGGAGGAAATGCATTGAAAATATAAATATACATATCTCAGTCGTCAGCTATCCTAAGCCATCCATCCTTTAATCTGCGGCCTAGGCGAAAGAAAGAAGAGGGGGCATGATGGTCTTTTTGCATGTTGTTGACGACTCAGCACCATGGTGTCATGCATGCATGGCGTGGCACATGAGCAAATGTGGTAAATTTGTTGGCGTTTTCTCTCTGCGGGTGAAAATGTCGTGACAATTCTAAAGCTGCTAGCCACCCGTAATTATGTTAAAATGTTAATAATCCCAAGAAAAACATTCAAATAAGAATTATTTTGATGATCTAATATTTTTTAAGCCTGTATGGGTTAAAGCAGTGTGACTGAGATACGATCTTAAGAATCAATTGAGAAACAAGACATAATAATTAATCTATGATCTTCCCATGTTCAATGTGTTAGAAAAACGTGTGTCAAGGACTCAAGGCACCATATGAAGTCTGGTTGCAATATGAATGATATGATCATTGAATTTTCGAGCCACAAAGCATCGAGTTATAGATCCTAAGCCCCATTGCAACGCACGGGTATTTTTACTAGTAATAATAAAAAATCATAAAAATAGATTTCAATTAGGATACCTATTCATATATTCACCATGTTTATATGCTCGTCGGCCCTCGTCTATTCAACCTTCTCAGAGATTTCTCTCTCTCCATCAAATATAATTGTTTCTTGCGGCCATTGAAACCAACACAAGTACAATAGTTTGTTTATTATATATATATGACGACTCTTATCCGCAGCAAGATTGTCTAATCGAAGTATATGCTCGTCGGCCCTCGTCTCTTCCCTTCTCATACTCTCACTCTCCATCAAATAATCGTTTCATGCGTCCATCGTCTAGTACACACAGTACAATAGTTTGTTTATTATAATATATATGTTCTCTTATCTAATTTTTTTCTTGTCTAATCTTTGTTAGTACGAGTAGTGGACCCACGTGATGATTATTTGAGTTACTATTTATACATGAATTATTGGTTTCATAAATATACTAGCCCGTGTCTCCGTGTCACTGTTTTTTAAGCAAATTGCATATCCGCATATCCGATAGATATCGTATCTCATACAGTCATACTCATATGCGTATGCGATACACGTATCCAGAAAATTTTATTAGAGGGTGCGGTGCCTGTTCGTGTTCGAAACAAGAACAGCACGGCGCAGCTGGACCACAGTCCACAGGCCACACAGCCCACAGGTACCGTACGCTGCCCTGCATCCGGCGCGGCCCATGACGCGACCTGTCCGGGTCGTCTCGGGCCCCCTGCTATAAATTGCGGCCCCACACGCACGCCACTTGCAGTTATCGCAGTCGCAGACGAACGAACACACAGAGCTATCAACATTCAACACTCAACAGCCAACAGCGAGAGAGTACAGGGAGGGGGACAGAGACGATGGAGGTTGACGTGGTGGGGACGACGCTGGTGGCGCCGAGCGAGGACACGCCACGCCGGGAGCTGTGGGTGTCGAACCTGGACCTGGCCGTGCCCAAGGCGCACACGCCGCTGGCGGGGAGGCTGGGCGTGGGCGAGGGCGGGCGCCTGCAGATCGACTGCAACGCCCAGGGCGCGCTCTTCGTCGTCGCCAGGGGCCAGGGCCGACTTCGCCGGCGCGGACGTGTTCGGTGACGACGGCTACGAGCCGGCGCCGGAGGTCAGGCGGATGTTCGTGCCGTCCGGCGACCCGCCCTGCGTCATGTCCATGTTCCATGGTTCCATGTGAGGCAGAGGCACGCACACATGCTCGTACCGGCTAGTTTGGTTGACGCCCTGGCAAATCTGCCTGGCACAGGCAGGCGTTGGTTTTGGACGCCTGCGGTCGGATGCATGTGTCTGGGTGCAGCTCCCCAGATCAGGGCTCAAACCAAATCTGTGGCATTACTTTAGAGATGGAAAATGCGGAAAGTTTCGAGTTTGCAATAATGACTACGAGTGTTTTGGCCTTTGGTTCACGTGATGGATCAAAGCCCATGATGCATCGTGCCATCCGTAGCTCTGCTTGGAACGCGTGAGTTGGCATCTAGTAGGTTATTAATTCACGTGAAATTACTTTAGACATGCGAAACGAGGGGAACATGACAAAGTATATTGGCCGGATCGAACGGTTCTATGCTCAAGAATAGTACAGCTTCGAAAAAAACAAGAAAGAAAAACACACACGTATCACACCTGTATGTACTTGATTGTGATATGTGGGACCAGACTGCCACGAGATTTGGAGTAATATATGCGTATTCGGACGGTGGTCCGTGGCATGATCGAGCCAGCAGCGGCCCCACCACGAAGAAAAGTTTTGGCGTGGACGTAAAGGTACAGTTACAGCCTGCGACACATGGTCCGTCGATGACAGTAGTACTACACATACTGCAGATGTTAACTGCAGCACGTACTACTAGTTAAGGACGCATCCGTCGGCATTGCATTATTATTCGTCCCGTTCACTTATTTATAAGCCGTTGAATAGTATTTTTCTTGAACAACAAACCACTCAACGGTACTTGCGGAAAGGAAGAGGAATCTGTAAACGATAGAAAGGCCTTGTTTAGATTGCAACACTGTAGCACGTTTCGTTTATATTTGATAAACTTTATTCGATCATGGATTAACTAGGCTTAAAAGATTCGTCTCGTGATTTATAACCAAATTATGTAATTAGTTATTTTTTTACCTACATTTAATACTCCATACATACGTCCAAAAATTGATATGACAGAGATAGAGTGAAAAAACTTAGAATTTTGAGGCAACGTAAACAAGCTGCTGGCCGTCCAAAGCTTCGCGAAATAATCGCCATCGAGGGAATAGACTTCTGCCCTGTGATGAGAATGAGATGCGAAAAGGATATCCTGTGATCATGACAGCTAGCGTCTACTGTATATTTTCTAAACCACGGCAGGATCAGTGTGTGCAGATCGTGGGCAACCGCAAAACACGCGCGGCCGCTGTTGTATGTAAGCGCATCCAAATCGGCAACTTTGGATGGTAGTAGGCTCGTAGGCATCAAACAATAGTTTTGACTCCCGGCGTGTCGTCATGACAGTGTCTGGATTATGAATACTTATTACTTATCTGGTTAATTATTTTGCAACTAGTTAACGGGGGGTCACGTCGTCCCATCCTGCAAGCATTTTAAAACGAAAGGTACTGCATGTGCGTCGCGCGCGGGCCCGCTGCCGCCGTTCCACGACCGGACGCTCCTCCGCGCGCGGTCCCCGCCGACGCCGGCCTTCGACCACCCGGGTCTACTCGCTGTCCCTGCTCAACGGCCGCCCCCGCCCCTTCGCCACCCGCGTGTACGCCGTCTCCCCGAAGCTCCTCGCCGACGTCAAGTCCCGCTGCGCGCCGGGCGTGTCCACGTACTGCGCCGTCACCGCGCACCTCTGGCGCTGCATGTGCGTCGCGCGCGGGCTGGCGCCGGGCTCCGACACGCGGCTCCACGTCCCCGCCAATGTCCGCCACCGCCTCCGGCCGCCGCTCCAGCGGAGCTACTTCGGCAACGCCATCGTGCGCGACCTCGTCGTCGCCCGGGTGGAGGACGTCCTGGCGCGCCCGCTCGGGTTCGTGGCGCAGGCCATCAGGGACGCGGTGGACCGCGTTGACGACGCCTACGTGCGCTCCGTGGTGAACTACCTGGAGGTGGAGTCGGAGAAGGGCAGCCAGGCGGCGCGCGGGCAGCTCATGCCGGAGTCCGACCTCTGGGTGGTCAGCTGGCTCGGGATGCCCATGTACGACGCCGACTTCGGCTGGGGCCCGCCGCGTTTCGTCGCGCGGCGAAGATGTTCGGCAGCGGCACGGCCTACGTGACGCAGCGCGTCAACAAGGACGATGGCATCGCCGTGCTCTTTGGGCTGCCGAGTACCTGCAGTGCTTCGAGAAGGTGTTCTATGGGGAGTGAGTTGTGAGATAACGCGCTTCGTCGTGAGCACTGAGTGTGATTACAGTAGCTTGGAGCCTGATGCTCTGGATGTGTGCTGTGTGCATATAAAAAAAATCGCTCCGATTCCTGTGTCTCTCTAGTCTTGTCATTAAAGTTGAAAACGGTCGGGACAAATCCCGTTCCGTCCGCGACCGTATATCGTTTTTTTTCCATCCGTTTTTGTTTTTTCTGGGTTAAATGAAAACAGGACCGAAAACGGTTCAGAGTGAACCGAGAGCGGGACCCAAAACGGTGAAGCTTTTCTCCATCCGTATTTGTGGCATCCTGTTTTTATTGGAATATCCCATTTTTCATCCGGTTTTTCTTCAATCTGGGATAAGCCCAGCTACGAACTAGGCCTTCCTGCTGGCGGCCCAGGATGTTCCATGGTAGCAAGTCTCCTGGGGCCTGTTCGGTGGCTGACTGTGCTAGCTTGTTGGCTGTACGTGCATGGCCCAGTATGTTACAACTGCTGCTTTCTACTTGCTTGGCGCATGCTGCTGTGTGGGCATTGCTTGCCGCAGCATGAAGGCAACACACAGGAAGCACGCTTAGCGTGCAGCACAGGCGGCGGCCGTGGCTGAGCATGAGAAGACGAGCAACAAATCAATACTTTTCTTATCACGTGTATTACTTATGTGTATAGGCTGGTTGTAAAGAGCAACGAGGTGCGCATGCAATCCCGGCTTAAGTTTTCACTTACCGTTCGTTTCCATCTATTTTCGATCGTATTTACCCGTTTTCGTATTACCGTTTATTCCGCTACCGTTTTCGCTCCCATCTCTTCCACTCCGCTCCCTGTTTTCGTAAAATAAATATGGAAATGAAAACGTTAGAGGCATTTTCCAATCGTTTCCGTCCGTTTTAAACTTTGCTTCTCATGTCTTGTTTTGGAAAAAAATTGCATGAAGCCTGTATGCACCCTGCAGCCGTACATACCTAGGGTGGACTTTTGACGCGTGTCTCCGCTTCTCTAGCCTGTACGTCGTGGGTGCTACTGGATCAGATCGGATCGGATCGGATCTGCTTGGCTCATTGGCTGGAATTCAAGCACGGCTTGCCCACGTTTTCAGCAGCTAAATCACCGATCCAGATTTGTTTGACCGACACGCGTCATCCATCCACCCTAGGTATGAACGACCGCAGGGTGCATACCGGCTCCATGCAATTCTTTTCCCTTTTTTTAGGTGCTCAGTTGAGAGAGAGCCATAGCTACGTTGCCCTCACGTACACCACTGCACTAGCATGTTATACACTGTCACTGAGGTGCATGTGAGCAGAGGTTGGGCTTGGGGCCACCGTCATCCAAATTGTTACCGTGCTACGTTGTCGAGTTCGCATGCCGCGTGCGAGCAGTGAGCATCCGTTGTAATGAAATTTTTAGTGTCGTACGGCCCAATCGACGAGATGCCCAGCCCGCCAGTACATGGGAAAGTAGCCCTCTAATACATGGACCCTTCTTCTTTTCTTTTAGCCCAGTTTTCAAGTGTACAGCCCAAACATTGTAGTTCCTTATTTACACTGTCCGTACCAGTTGGAATCGACGCCCTAGTTGTGCGTAGCGAGACACTGATCCGGAACAAAATCAGGATCGTAGCGATGCCAGCACTCAGTCGCCGTTTCTTTTTGTTTTTTTGTGAATTGCTTGCCTTTCGTTACCATCAACCGGCCGAGGCCTCAAAGAGTACCAGATCGAGCACGCATGCCGGAGTTACATGCCACATCTCCGTGCGATGAGTGCTCGATACTTGTTTAGCTAAAACATGTGCTACTTTATTACAAGTTCTACTAATATAAAGAAAAAAGAGAAATCTTGAAAGGCAAGCCTGAGATCATCAATCTCCTTCAAAACCGAATCAACAATGGATCGCTGAACATCCTTCTTGTTCCACAGGTTGACAAGCTCCAAGCAATCAGTTTCCAGCCATACCTGCTGTATACCCTGTTGTTTCGCCAGCACTAACCCGTCTCGGCACGCTAATGCTTCCATCAGACAAGCATCAAAACCACGATCATACCAGCGCGCCTGTGCAGCTTGCAAAACCCCCCTGTGATCTCGAATTACACTGGCCGTCGCCCCACTGTGCTTGTTCTCGTAGAAGGCGGCATCAGAGTTGATTTTAAACCATCCTTGGCTTGGAGCCAACCATCTCGGGGAGCCTCATTAGCCGCTCGCTGCTGCACCGGCCACCGGGTGACAAATCTGCCAAAGATCATAAGCTGTATCCCGTGCCCAAATAACAGCTTGTTGAATGCTCATCGACAGTTCCCCATGTCTCCTCTTGTTTCGCATCATCCACAAAGTCCACATCCCGCAAAGTATCGCTGCTGTGTCCCGGCTAGAGCAAATACCTGATATCAGGTCACTAGCCCAGGTAACAGGGTTCAGACTTGGGATCTTGACACCAATTCCCACTCGTACTTGATGCCAAAATTCTCTAGCCACCGAGCAGTATAACAAGACATAAGCGACGGACTCCTCTGGCGCCCCACATACTTCACGGAAGGCTATCGGCTCAATGTGTCTCTTCCAGAGGATATGTCATGGACTACTCGCCACCAAAATACTTTCACCTTCGGTGGAATTTCCAAGTTCCAGATAATCTTCCAAAGGCCATCAGTTGAGGCGCCAGGTTCATGGTTCTGATTCTCTTCCTCCTCCTCCTTAAAAAGGAGCTTGTATGGCGATCTTACCGAGTATATACCCGACTTCTCCGGTTCCCAGGCCCAGCGGTCATGGCCCTGCTGCCCCATCGGCTGTCGGATGATGGCCTCAGCATCAACCGGAAAGAAAACCTCCTTGATCAGCACCTCATTCCATTCTCCGTTTGCAAGGCGCAGATCGGCCACTGTATCCAGCACCTGACCCTGATATGGTGTGATTGGCCGGCCATTAAAATGGTTAGCAATCCACCTGTCTTCCCAAATCCTTGTTGTTTCGCCATCAGCAATCCGTTTAATAAGTCCTTCCTGCAGAGCCTCTCGCCCCGCAAGGATTTGCACGCCACGTACTACTAGCATGCTTCTTTCTTGTGGCCCTCATGAAATCTGAGTCGTGAAAGTACCGGCCCTCGAGGACTCTGGCACACAACGACTCAGGGCGGGTTATGAGTCTCCAACCCTGCTTGCCAAGCATTGCAATGTTGAAGCATCTTAAATCACGGAAACCCATACCTCCTTCGCACTTTGGCTTTGTCAGACGCTCCCAACTCATCCAGTGCATACGTCAGTTATCAGCTGAGCTCCCCCACCAATAATTTGCCATAGCCGACTTCATTTTTTTGCATGTGTTCTTCGGAAGGAGGAAGCAACTCATGGAGTAAGTAGGGACAGCTTGTGAAACCGACTTGATCAGCACTTCCCTCCCTGCACAGCTAGCTTCTCTACCGCACCACCCTTCAATTTTGCCCCTGATCTGAGTTGGTAAAAATTCAAACAGATCACCCAAACTTCTACCTGTCTCCGTAGGTAAACCTAGGTATTTTTCAGCAAGCGCCTCCTTGTTAATGTTTAGGCCTTGGCATACCACTGACTTCATCTCCTGGGGGCAATTTTTGCCGAAAAACACCGCAGATTTCTCGCGATTTACTAGCTGGCCCGAACCGCGGTTATATATATTTAGGATCTCCATCAGTCTTTCGCCCCCACCCCCTTGCGACGCTTCTGAGAAAACAATGCTATCATCCGCAAAGAGAAGATGCAATATCCAGGGGGAGTGTATACCAACTCTTACACCCCTTGACAAGTGCATTGGACCAACCGACTTCAAGAGACAAGAAAGCCCTTCCAAACACAGGAGGAATAAATATGGTGATATAGGGTCACCTTGTCTAATCCCCCTCGTGGGTCTAAAAACTTCTGTCATAACACCATTAATCTTGATAGAGAAGGATACTGAAGTTACACACCTCATGATTAGATCCACAAAATTTGTGTGAAATCCCAGCCGTAACATTATGCCTCGCAAATATGCCCACTCAACACAGTCATAGGCTTTGGCCATATCAAGCTTCACGGCACAAGCCCCGGTTTTCCCCTTCTTCCTATTCAAATAGTGAATACACTCATAGGCAATGAGGACATTGTCAGTGATCAAACGTCCTGGAATGAAGGCACTTTGCTCCTAGATTACCACGTCCAAACATTCCCTCAGTCTTAGAGCCAGCACCTTCGAGCATACCTTATACAACACATTGCAGAGCGAAATCGGCCTGAACTCCTTCATGGACTGCGGGTTTCTGACTTTGGGAATTAGAACAATAGTAGTACGATTAATATCATCAGGTAGCATACCTCCATTCAGGAAGTCCAATACTGCATTTGTCAGCCCCGAGCCCAATAAATACCAGTGCAACTGAAAGAAACCGGCAGTGAATCATATGCAGTGCTCTATCCACTTCCACAGCAGTGTAAGGGCGGTTAAACCTGCTGTTCATCTCCTCTGTAATTCTCGTAGGAACATGTTGCAAGATCAACTCTGGCAACAGTTCGTCTTGCGCTGTAAACAGCTGCGCATAATACTCAGTTGCCATTGCTTCTATATCCTCCTGACTCACAACCACCGATCCATCATCACGGCAAAGCGACGTGATTCTATTTCGTTTCGCTCTTGCCCGGGATTTCGCTTGGAAGAAGGACGTATTACGGTCACCCTCCTTAAGCCACTCCATTCTCGCTCTTTGCTTCTCCATCACCTCCTCCCGTGAGAGCAGTTCCGAGATGCATGCCATTAGGTGTTTTTCTTTCCTTGATGGACCAGCACCTATGGACAGCCCCCGTTCCACTTCTAGCTCATGTCTGAGTGCTGCCAGGTTCTTCTTTACCGAGCCAAAAAACATCCCGCTCCCAGACTTGGAGCTTGCCTTGGACTGATCCAAGCCTCGTCTGC